AGCTTATCAGCGTAATCCACACCCATACACAAGTAAATATGTATAAAACGGACACATATGAGCGTACATTTATTTTAAAATTGCCAGAAGAATTTGCTTTTCTGGCCAGTAGAATGCAGTTACACTCAATGCTATATGTGTACATTATTATTATACAGGATTTATATAGCGCCAACAGTTTGTGTATTGCTTTACAATATAAGGGAGACAGTACAATTACAATACAGTTCAGTACAGAAGGAATAGGAGGGCTCGGCTCCTGGAGCTTACAATCTAAAGGAAGGGGGAGGTGGTACAAAAGGTGATAGCTGCAGGGGATGGTCTGCTGGAGGTGACCCAAGTACAGTTCTTAGGTGGAGGTGGGGTAGGCCTCCCTGCATAAGTGACTTTTCAAAGATTGTCTAAAGGCAGACAGGGTGGGAGCTGACCGGACATACTAGGGTAGAGAGTTCCAGAGGATGGGAGAGGCTCTGGAGAAGTCCTGGAGGCGAGCGTGGGAGGTGGGTGATGAGTGAGCTAAATAGCAAGATGTCTTGGGAGGAGCAGAGAGGACAATTTGGACAATATCTGCAGATGAGGTTGGTGATATACCTAGGGGCAGTGTTGTGAATGGCTTTGTATGTTGTGGTTAGTATTTTTAATTTTAAATGTTGGGCTAGTGGAAGCCAGTGAAGGGATTGGCAGAGAAGGGCAGCGGTGGCTGATAGGTTAGTAAGGTGTATGAGTCTAGCAGCGGCATTCATAATAGACTGAAGGGGGGATAACCTGTGTAAAGATAGACCAGTGAGGAGGAAGTTGCAGTAATCGAGGCGGGATAAAACCAAGGCGTGGGTAAGTTGTTTTGTGGTGTCGTTAGTCAGGAAAGGGGCGAATTCTGAAAATGTTGTAGAGATTAAGGCGGCAGAATTTAGCCAGTGATTGGATGTGAGGCCTGAAGGGGAGGTCAGAGTCTAGGATTACGCCTAGCACCCTGGCATGTGGGGAGGGACCAATGGTTGTGCTGTTGATCCTAATGGTATATAGTCATGAGTGGGGGATCGGGGAGGAGGAAATATTACAAGCTCAGTTTTAGAAAGAGTTTGAGGAAGTGATGTAACATCCATACTGATATGTCGCTCAAAAGATTTGAGATACGTGAGGAAATCGAGGGGGTGAGCTGGGGAATAGAGAGATAGATCTGGGTGTCGTCAGCGTAGAGGTGGTATTGGAAGCCATGGGAGGTTACATATGTACATAAACACATGTACATACATACTTGGTTCTGGCAGAAAAAAATCGGGCATATGTAGGGCATAAATTCATACGCCCGTGTGCATGAGGGTACTTTCACACAGTACTTATTTATGAATATCAGACATGCTCATAAAAATATTTCATCGTTCCTTGGGGTGTGTCATATGCATGTATGGACGTATCGGCATATGTGCATACATGCATAAAATATTGTCCTGCAATGCAAATTTTTGTAAAAAAAAATTTTACTGATCTAAATGCAGCACAAGTTTACTCATAAACAATAGGCTGCATTTAAATCAGTAAAAAAAAAAAAAACACCTGAATGCCTAAAAACATGGCATTTTTAGGTATTTGTGTGCAAGAATCCTTTCATTCACATTGGTGCATAGGGCCCTTCAATGCAAAAACGAGCGTATTTCTGTGACTGGAAGTCACAGGTGTTGCATACAAATCAATGGCAGGCTGCAGCTGTATGCTGAAAAACCGCAGCCACAGACATATAGGGATGCATGAACTGTCTGCATCCAGAGGGCACATCTGTTCCTTTATACATGTAAATCAGAGGTGCTCAACCTTTTAAAGAGAGAGGGCCACTTAAGTGATTAAGGATTTGGTAACCTGTCTTGGGGCCAAAATTAAATTAAATGCTACAGAATTTTTTTATTTTGAATAGCATAATGAACATTTTCCTCCTGCAGCTGCTGAATGCTAGTGGGAGGGGAGGAGAAGCCAGTTTTCATTGGTTGCAGGAGGAAAATGGAGGGTATTGGTTCCTGTTTATACCACCCCTCCTGTCCAAGTTTAAAACAGAATGTGACAGGGAGGATGCAAGGGCCCCCTGGAGAATGGTCTGGGGTCACCATTGCGACTTCTGGCGCTACACTAGTGGTTGAGGGGGGGTTTGGAAAACACGTCTCAACTATAGGGTTGTACCCCCCCTCAAAACCGCAAAAGTAAATGAGCCCTTACTGTCCAGAACCCCCTATAAGGCTGCTTTCACAGTGATGCACTGCGGTTTACCCACACCATGAGTGCAGCACAGTGCTCCTGCGGGTTAGCTTCCATTTGCCATTGACGTCTATTATATCTTGACCCACCCCACCCCCCCCCCCCCCCCCCCCCCCCCCACCCCCCACCACCCCCCCCCCCCCCCACCCCCCCCCCCCCCCAACCCCCAAACAACCGGGTATGGTGCACCAAAACCCCCGTATTAAAGAGTTTTGGTGCGCTTTCTGAAAATGCACCAAACTTGCAGGATATACTAGAAGTGTGCTTCCCAGGTTAAGGTCGAGGGCCACATCAGAGGGCGCCGAGGGCCACAGGTTGAGCACACCTGTCTTACATAAAGCAATTGGTTTAAACTGTGCCACACCAGTAGTTCATAAGGGACATGGGACAACCTTCATCAATCTTGCAATAGTCACCAGTTACCCAAATAGCAATTTCTGACCAGTTCAGATGCATGATCAATCTTAAAGTAGAACTCTAGAGGTGTTTTGGTTTTGATTGAATGTGAAAAATCTCTGATTTTCATTTCTGTCTGTTTCCCTGCTGTGGAGAATTTCCCTCTTTTACTGTATTGATGACAGGGAAGGGGGGATGCAAATCTCTTCAGTCAAGGGTGCTCAACCTGTGGTCCTTTAGGTGTTGCAGAACTACATGATCCATGAGGCATTGCAAGGCTGAGAGTTATAAGCATGACTCCCAAAGAGAGAGGCATGATGGGACTTGTAGTTCCACAACATCTATAGGGCCACAGGTTAAGCACCCATGTCTTAAGTGGTGGCACTGCAACAAGAACATGTTAGTCAAGTTCCACTTTAACAAAACTACTGACTACCACTGAACAACTAAATAATTAGTAAAACTATATTCAATTAACCTTTAGTTCTGCGTTCTGCCTGGAGTTCACATGTGAATCATACAACAGAACAGGGTTGCTGGGCTGACTCAGGCACTGCTTTGTTTTTCTGATCCTATCGCAAAACTCCGCTCCTGGAGATGGCATTGTTCATAAATAAACGTGTGGATTATAGTCCAGATCTGTTCTATTACAGGCCATTACACAACAGGACAAAAAATGATCTAGTACAAATTTAACGCTGACTATTTATGCAGATCTAATATAGAGTATATTTACTGAGCATTATGTATTTGCTTTTGTTATCAGGATATATGCTCATTGTTTTTCAATAGTGGAAATATGAAATAACAAAGCATTTCCCTTTATAGTGTGTATCTGTAAAAGTCACTTCTGTAAGTTTTTCTGACTCCAGGAGAAAAAAGGTGACATGGGAGGGACCTTCAGCAAACAGCCTGTGATTGACAGCTTCAGCTCTGTTCCTGTGAGCTGTGTGAAGGAGGGCATATCCCTCCAATCAGCTCTCGGAGCTCTCCTCACTGAGCTCTGCAGTGTTTTAACCAGTTCCCGCCCGGCCTATAGTAAAATTATGGGCGAACGGGACTTTTGTTGATCCGGGTGGACGTCATATGATGTCCTCCCGGATCGCCGTCATGCTGCGGTGAGATCTGTCAGAGACTGTGTCCAATCACAGCAGGCCACATAACAATTGTAAACAATGGATTGCTTCCTTTCATGCTATCCATTGTATACAATTGTGTTGCTAGCTGTGATTGGTCACAGTGATCACAAAGTACAGACTGAGTGAATCACAGCCCATCTGTGTGTCACATGATTAGCTGTGGCCAATCAAAGCTAATCACAACAAAACAAACTGAATGAATGAATTGATTTCAATAACATGCTTGCTTATAGCAATGAAATTCCTTGCTATAAGCAATAATAATGTATTATAAAAAAATACTGATCACTTCTTACTATGATAACATTATATTACTCTGGACACAGTGTGTTATAAATATAAAAAAAGAGAAAAAATTGAAAAACAAAATATGTATTTTTTTTTTTAGTACTGTCACCGCTCAGTCTACCAAACCAGGTATATGATGACGCTGTACTGCGCTGTTGACAGTATGTAAAAAAAATTTCCTGATTTTCCAAACAATTATGCCAAAAAATGACAACTTCAAAAACTCAGCATGCTTCTTACTAAATACCTCAGACTGTCTACTTTCCAAAAAGGGGTCATTTGGGGGATATCTGTACCGTTCTGACATTTCAAATATACACCATAGTTTGTGGACTCTATAACTTTCCTACACACTAAATAATATGCGCTGATTTTGGTTATTTTCAGAAAAAAAAATTTAACAGAATACATTTTGGCCTGAATGTATGAAAAACAATTATTTAGTAGCAAAATTTTATAACAGAAACGAAGAAAAACTTTTTTTTTTTTTTTTTCAAACGTTTCAGTCTTTTTTTCATTTATTTAGCAAAAAATTAAAAACCCAGTGGTGATTAAATACTACCAAAAGAAAGCTCAGTTTGTGTGAACAAAATTATAAAAATTCAGTTTGAGTACAGTGTTGCATGATTGCGCAATTGTCATTCAAAGTGTGACAGTACTGAAAACTGGCATGGGCAGGAAGGGGACAAAAGTCCCTGGTATTGAAGTGGTTAATTTCAGCTCTCCACCCCGTCTTCAGAAAGCACAGACAAGTTCTATAAATTCTGCAGTTTGAACAGATGTAGAGTAGAGAAGATGGCAGATAAACGTGTACAACTATATAGGAGGGTTTGTTTCATTTATGTGTATCACCAGAGGCCAGTCACTTTACTGGGTATATGGAAGTGTTAACGACCACTTTAAATATGTTTGGGACTGTTTCACATTACTTACTGATTGAGCTTTCCACCTTCTCCTTCATTGAATAGATGGATACTTTCTCTGCTGCATCACTGCTTCTTTTCCATATATTCTTAAGGAGTAGGGGATATCGGGTCAGCCGATGTAGTGGAGCCACCAGCAAATCAGTGAGATGAAGTCGTTTACACTGCTCCTGTTGCTCACACCACTGTAAAAGACATTATCACACTTAGATATAGACAGAATATTGATTTTGAAGCAGTTTTCAGTACAGAGAGTGATGCTCTCACCCAACTCCCTTCACATCAAAACCTTGTATATGCACCTCTATAATGCTGGAATCTGTGGTTTCTGCTCCAGAATCTTTTTTTTTTTTTTTCCAAAAAAGTATTTTATTGAAATATGAAAGGCATATCAAGTCATATACAGATACGGATCACAGTCCGCGCATAGACATCTTGCATGTTCTCCCGTAATGCAGACGGGTCATAAGATGTTTGTTTAAAGTGCGATTCACCCCGAGGCAAAATATCATAATATAACAAATGAATAATACAAACCAGTAGATATAATGATTATAGTAGGTAAACTAGATAAGTATAATGGACAATGATTGAATCTACTTTTAATCTCTTGCCATCTAGAGGTTGTGTGCTGAGAGTGAGCTCCCTTTGTACTTGCAGCACACTGACCAAGCTATCACCAACAACTCATGGTCTGGGTCTCTTATTGGAAGCCAGTTGATCAAGCTCCTGATTATGTGACTTTTGTTTATAGTGCAAAAAATAAAAACACCCAGTGGTGATTAAATACTACCAAAAGAAAGCTCTATTTGTGTGAAAAAAATGATAAAAATTTCATATGGGTACAGTGTTGCATGACTGCACAATTGTCATTCAAAGTGTGACAGCGCTGAAAGCTGAAAATTGGCCTGGCCACGAAGGGGGTAAAAGTGCCTGGTAGGCAAGTGGTTAAATTCATGATATTAATTAAAAAGTTGAATATAATACATTTATAATTTTTTTTAATCTTTTTAAAAACTGTCCATTTCAGTTTTCAACCAAATTCATACTGAATTTTCATTTCAGTGCACTACTAGTTTGTAGAAGCAGTCTGCATGCCTAGGTGCTTGATTTTATACACATGTGGCCACAGAGGTGATTGGAACACCTGAATCCAATGATTTGGAGGGGTGTCCCAACTTGGGATGATATGTACAGTCGTACTAACACATGTGAAAGTTGCAAAACTGTACTTGGGCACGAAGATTTGTTTTGACCTCGGTTAATTATACTGTATACCAACAGGGGGGGTAGCAATACTGGCTATCATTGCATACATGCTGGGCTTCAAGTTAGGCACCCAACCCAGGGAAAATCTATTGCCAGCTCTAAATACCCGAATCAACTACAGGTTGCTTAACCTGTAATTGGATTTCCTATCAGAAACGGTTTGCAACTTTACCATCTGCCATTACAGGGACAATCTACAACTACAAGCTTCTATAAGATCAGATAAGTAAACATTAAAGACGGGAATTGTATGTATAGTGAAAATGATCAATACTTTTTCTTTGATGCCGGATTGTTATCACTTATGGAAACTAGAGCAAAGAAACTAGCTGGATTTCATCTTCACTTTTCAAGAAAAATTATATATAGCAGTCACCCCACTGACTGCTTTAAAACTAGGCAACACACTACATATCAAAAGGCTGGTCACTTGACCAGTACAAGACAGATCTTCAATCCATTTCATTAAATTGTCTGCATTTCAGTGTAATCTCCTCCTCAGCCTTAAGCCTAGTACACACGGGTTGAATGTCAGGAGGCATCGTCTGGTTCAATAGAAACTGGCTGACATTCGACCTGTGTGTACGCCAGCTGGTCCATCAGAAGCTGGTTGTTTGGCCAGCTTCTGTTGAAGGGGCATGACCGAAAAAAGGTCTGCTGATCGGAGCCCGCTGGGTTTTGTTGAACGAAAAAAAAAAACTAGTAGAGTGTACAAGGCTGCTAAAAGGAGGAATAAAACCTGTGCTAATTATGGCAAACATTACATGGCGGTCAGCATACAAATGTCTAGCAGTTACGTTATGTGCTATAGAAAGAAATAATTTACTTTCATATATGTGCCAAAATCTTCTCTTTGCTTCAGAGTCTCTAGATAGATGACAGCAGATGTGTAATTGAGGCAGTAGATCTGATGACTTAAGCAGAGATTATCCTTGAAGTACTGCAAAATCAAATTAAAAATCTAGCATTAAGTCAAAATCACCAACATGAGTATCTATCTTATTGCAGGCTGTGCTTTATGAATGCACAACGTGCACTGTACACTAAGTCACAAAACAAAAATACTGTAATAGCAAGAATGCATTAGTTTTATTATGTTTTGCTGTAAAACCTGACATGACAGCGGATTACAACGGTTTATAGCCTTGACTGATTTCACCCAAATATGCATCAATCTGACAGTGTACAAGTAAAATTATTGCAACGGGTACTCTTAGCATCATCTGGGAAAATTTCAGATATTTCCTTTGATAACAATGCAGAGAAAAGCTGTAGCATTTTAGTAACTACCAATTTTTAGAATTAAAAAAAAAAGTGATAATGTGTATTTAGGGTTTTTTTGACTCTTTAGTTTGGTTTTGTTTAATTGGTAATTGAACAATTTAAAGAAAAACAAAGAGTGAACACAATTATATGAAAAACATATCATTTCTTCTTTGAACATCAGCTAGCTACTCATGTATGAAAGTTTTTTGGTCAGCTTACTAGGGATACCTTTTTCTCATCCAACATGCACCCAAATTATTAAGTACTTTTTGGATAATCCCCTAGTAATCTGTGAACCAGCTGTATCACCCTTACCCTATAGAAAATACAGCCCACTTCATCAATATTTTTGATTCTGGTGTCATTTCCTTTAGTCGCTGTTACATGATGAACAGTCCAGTTGCTGTGCTTAAATGCCAAAATTTATGTATTTTAAAATTGCACCGTATATACACTGTATAACGCCTTGTGTACAAAGGCATTTGTCTGCTTATTAATTAAAGTAGGCATAAAATCAAGCACAGCTTGACGACCAGAATATAAATCCTAATCACCTGAGAAGTTACAGCTGGGTATACACTAGTAACTACTAATTTGACATTTTTTTTGTTGTAAGAACATTTGTTCGTTTTTCTAATCTTTAGCGGGTCAAATTGACATTCTCTTTCAACTGCAGTGATGAGAAAATTCAAAGGAGCTGGATGAAATTTTTTTCTTGAATGTAATTTCAAAACAGTGTATATGGTTTTCATTTGGTAAAATCCAATCATTCCAAAAACCGAATGTCAAAAGCAAATGAAAACTTTAACTACTTTCGAACAACATTCAAATGTACTGAAGCTTCCCAAGAATTTTTACTCAAATTTTCATTTACAATTCTATGTATTTGTTATCATGCTTCATCATCTTTATGTACTTCTATGTCTTGGTTATTATTATTATACAGGGTTTATATAGTGCCAACAATTTGCACAGTGTTTTACAAAATAAAGGCAGACAGTATAATCATAAATCAATACAGGAGGAATCAGAGGGCCCTGCTCATTACAATCTTAAAAGGGAGGATCAAGTGATAGAAAATGTAGTATCACTTGGGGGTGAGTAATTGTGAAAATAACAGTTCAGTTGTTAGGTAGAGGTAGGATAGGCTTCTCTAAAGAGAAGGGATTTCAGGGATTGCCTAAAGGTGGATAGAGTAGGAGATAGTCGGATAGGCTGGGGTAAGGAGTTCCAGAAGTTGGGAGTGGCTCTGGAGAAGCCCTGAAAGCAAGCTTTGGAGGAGTTGACAAAAAATGGAGAGCAGGATGTATTGGGAGGAGCAAAGAGAATGGTTCGGTTGGTATTTTGAGACAAAGTTAGTGAAGTAACTGGGGCAGAGTTTTGGATGGATTTTGGATTTCTAAGTTGTTAGTATTTTGAAATGTTTTCATTGGTTGAGTGGAAACCAATGGAGGGATTGGCAGAGAGGGGTGTCAGACACTGAACGGTTAGTAAAGTGGATGAGTCTGGCAGCAGCATTCTGATGGAATGAAGTAGGGATGGCTTATGTAAAGGTAAGCCAGTGAAGAGGGAGTTGCAATAGTCAAGCCTAGTTGAGAAATAACCAGAGACTAAATAAGATGCGTTGCTGAGGCTGTAAGAAAAGGAAAGTTTAGAGTCCAAGGAAATATTATGAGCTCAGGTTTGATATAATCAGTTTGAGGAAGTGGTGTGACATCCATACTGATAAGTCTGTTAGTAAATTAGTGATGCATGAGGAGACTAATGGGATGAGCTGAAGGTTTGAAAGATAGCCTTTCACAGCTTCCAGTGCTATTTCTACATGGATGACACCCAAACCTATCAGCTGACCCTGGGGAAAGGTGCAGATTGTGAATAAGAGAGGCCCAAGGACAGAACCCTGGGAGAACCCAGCAGAAAAGGAAAGAGGAGAGGAGGTAGACTTGTGACACAAAGGCGCAGATTAACATTACTGCAATGTGACTTTGATACAATTTACAGTTCGATTATGTGATGCAACTTTTCATATAAGTCGCACTATAAATCGCAGGTAGAACAGGAACCTTTTCCAAAATTGCACCATTGTGAGCTGCATTGATTAGAATGGGCACAATTGAAAACAATGAAATTTCCCTTATCATGTGATTCTATGTGACTCAAGTCGCATCAGAAGTTGCACTAGTGTGAACCAGGCCTGAAGCAACAATTAGATAGGTAAAGTGAGAACCAAGGAACAGTACAGTCACAGTGACCAAGGAAATGGATTTTGAGGAGGAGGGGGTGGTCAACTGTATCAAAGGCAGCAGAGAGGTCCAAGAGTAAGAGTACAGAATATAGACCATGGGTTTTAGCTGTCGTTCTTGAGTTTTAGGAGAGCAGTTTCCCTGGAATGTTGCAGGTGAAATCCAGACTGAAGGGTGTTAAGGAGGTTATTCACAGTGAGGTGGTAGATCAAACGGTTGTAGACTATATGTTCAAGGGGTTTGTAGATAAAAGGGGGCAAGGAGTTAAGAAATTAAGTTTGGTGGGGTCTAGAGCAGGCTTTTTAAGTATGGGGATGACCAGTGTCTGTTTTATTGGGTTTAGGAAGCTAGGACCCCCCCCCCCGGTAGAGAGGGAGAGATTAACAATGTGAGTTAAAGAGTGTAGGATAGATCAAGAAGGTGACTTTAATATTTGCGATTGAACGGGGTCTAGGGGACAGGTGGTTTGGCATTAGAAAAAAGTTTTGAGACCTCCTCTTTAGTAGCAGGGCCCAACGAGGGAAGTATTGAGTGTGTTATGAGACTGACCTTTGGTAGCAAATCTGCCAGTGATAATGATAAAGATTTTGTTAATCCCAGTTCCCTGCTTTCAATCGTATTAAAGAGGCTGCTGGCAAAGTTTAGGCTCTCCTAGAGAAAAAAAAAATAATGAACATACCTTAATTAGGGGTGCTCAGTAAATGTACAAAATGCAGCATCCCAACATCCAATCATAGTAGCTGAAATCTTGTTTGATCATGTGGGGTACTATACATTGCAGAGCATACTTTCCCTTTACAACAGGTTACTTAATAAAACGATTTGTAAGTTTTTCCCTTTTAACACAAGAATGCAAATGATAATTATAGGATTTGCTTAACCATTTTATATTTATAATTCAAATATTTCCAAGACCAGAAGATATACAGGAAATCTCTAAATTTGAATTTTGTTTAAATCATCCAAGGAAGGCTGCACACAGATGACGTTGCTCTAATAATAGTAATTTTACCAGATTGGACTAGACCAGACCTGAGCCTCTGATATATTTCCATTGGGCTGAATGGTAGAGTAGCATCTATGATTAAGTGCAGTAGGGGTGAACATATAAGAGAGGACCACCAGCGAACCAGTTTGGTAAAATTAAACATTAACCACTTCAATGCTGGGTACTTTCACCCCTTACTTCATGCAATACTGTACTCATATGAAACAGAGCATTATTTTGGTGGTATTTAATAACCAATGGGTTTTTAATTTTTAGCTAAACAAAACAAATAAAAAAAAGTTGAAAAAAAAATGTTTTCTTCGTTTCTGTTATAAAATTTTGCAAATAAGTATTTTTTTCTTCTTCACTGATGTGCGCTGATGAGGCTGCACTGATGGTCACTGATGAGGTTGAACTGATGGGCACTAATGGTCACTAATGAAGCTTCACAGAACGCGCCCCAGGGGGTGCTCTTGAGTTGCATTCTGGGAGGACGCCTATAGACGCTCTCCCGGAACAAGAGAGCCACACTGTAGCCGTCTTTTGGTATTAAAGTTAATAGACTGGCATCATAACTGTGCAGCCTTCCTTTGATAACTGGTGGATTCATGATCGGAAAAGGCTCTAAAGGCCAGGCACCTGGCTCACTGCAGACCGGAAAAGAATGCAAGGGTTTTGAGCAGCACAGCTCCTTGGAACCTTGAATTTTGTTTACCGTAGTTATTACTTTTCTATGGTTTTCTTTTGTAAATACACAACACAAAATTAAGCTGACGAGCATGGCTCTGGCTCTGGTTCAGGTTTGGTTCAGTTTCAGGGGTGTAGATAAGGGGGTCGATGCCCCCCAGAGCATCTGTCAATGGGGAAGTAGCTAGGTTAGTGTACCCTTTCAGGTGCATGACCGGGACAGGAGCTACACAGTCACTCTTTCCTGGATCATAATACATGTCAGTCCAAGTCCCAGCCTGTTAGTTTAGTATGCGGGCAGGTCGGGACTCAGAAGAGTGCAGGGTGATGTCATGAGGGAAGGACTTTAGAGGCAGCTTCAGCCACCCACTGGCTGAGGAGGCAGTAGGAAGTGGTGCAGCCTGTAGCCTACAGGCTGCACCGCCCCCACTGCCTCCTCAGCCAATTGGTAAAGGGTGCTGTCCATCACTGCAGTTTAATGTTAATCCCGCTGGCTTCCTGTTAGTGCAGATGTAGGATGGAGCAGCAGCGCTGGATGCAGGAAGAAGCCTGCATGCACACAAGCCTGCATGCACACAAGCTACTGACCTGAACTGCAAGCAGTGAGGGTCTTCTGTCCTGTAATAATTGATAAGGTGAGGGAGAAGAGAACAAGAAACCATTTTTCCCCAGTTGGAAATGAAGGGGAAGGAGGAGCTGCTAGAAGTGGCTCCTGTACACTGCATAGCTGTCTTAATTTAACAACAGTTGCTTAGCTGAGGGGGTCAAAATGGAGACACCCCCTCCCCCCCAAAGGGGTCCTAAGGCTGATAGTGAATACACTGAGTTAGTGAAATCAAAGGAGGGAGCAGTGTCTTCCCGAGTGCTGTGCTCCCTGCCTCCCCCTATAGTGCAGTACCCGGCTGTGTGCATTGTAATTTTTAAAGTGTGTGTTCTCAAATGTGTGTGTCCACCCATCCCATGGCACTGCAGTGCATTCCACCAATCCCATAGCACTACAGAGCATTTCACTCTCATCCCATGACACATGGCAGAGCATTTCACCCATCCCATGACTATACAGAACATTTCACCCATCACATAGCACAGAAGAGCATTCCACCCATTCCATGACACACTGGGTGGGTGGGTGGATAATGTCACAATTTCCACCGCGAGCTAATCAGAAGAAGCCTTGTATTTGTTGCTAAAATACAAAGCGTCTTGTGAATGGCTGAGCACTCAACCTCAGTTTTGTTCTGGAAGAAGGGTGGGAAGTCCCTATCCTGCTGTTGGAACACAGCGCTGTATAATGTATGCAGCTGATGCTACATACAGTTTATCCAGCTCTGACAGCAAGTGCACCTATTAGTTAAGGAACCAGTTCATTTGTGCCCCACCCACCATTTGTCACATGTCACAGCGTGGGAGACACGCTTATTATTGTCCTCTGAGTACCTAAGGCTGAACAACCCCCCTGGAAAAAAATTTATCTATGGCCCTGTTCAGTTTAAGTTCAGATTTAAAAGATTAGGGGTAGATTTGCTAAACCTGGAGCACTCAGAATCTTGTGCAGCTGTGCATGGTAGCCAATCGGCTTCTAACTTCAGTTTGTTCCATTACACTTTGGCAATAACAGTTGGAAGCTGATTGTTTTCTATGCAGAGCTGCACCAGACTTTGCACTGTCCAGTTTTAGTAAATAACCCCCTAGTACATACACATGTATTGTCAGATCTTAGAGAACTGGTCCTTTAACACCATTACCAGGCATCAGCTGTTTACAGGACAAAATATATTCTGAACAAGCAAGGAATGCCTACATGTACCAACCTAGTCATCTCAGCATCAGAGTTGCGCAGACAAGTAGGTTGTCAGTATAAATACAGTACATATAATCTACTTACCATGTAGTTAGGTCTAAAGCAACCTAATAAAAACAAACAATTACTACCTGTCAACCAATCTCCATTATTCATAGAACTTTCCAGTAAGTTGTCTTATTATCTCAGCAGCGGTTTTCTATATGTAAATAAATGGTATTTATTAAGGAAACATGGCATTAGACATATTTACCTGGTTCAAATCCTCCAGATTAGCAAATAACCTAACCGGATCCACATCCAACAGAAGATCATTGTTCTGTAAGTGCTTTAGTGCATGCAAAAATATCTATAGTATAAAAAAAAAAAGCATAAGTGCAAAGTCAATTCAAGCAATAATTGAAGATGAATACAGTTTACAATAACTGATGAAAGTATTTAAAGGACAAGTTCACCTTTTGGACAAAAAAAAAATGCACATTTTTTTGCACGTAAAGCATGGCGCCAGCGATCAGTAGATCGCTGGTGCCATGCAGGTCTCCCGCAGACCTGTCAGAATATCTGCTTGCTGTACGGGATGTACGGTCAAGCAGATATTCTGACAGGAAGCTTGAATGAACTACAACGGTGATCCTCAGCGCCGTGGTAGTTCATTGAAACCTACAAGCCCACAGCCGCCAAGGATGCTGGGACTTGCAGGCACTCATTCACAGAACTCTGAAGGAGCCAAGCACAGCCACACTGTTTTAAAATCTGACAGATAGTTCACGGAAACTTCTCCCCATATTATCTGTCAGAGGGAGGGGGGGCAGCAGGCTCTGCTGCGGCTATGGGAACAAGTTACATGTTCCACCCTAAAAACGGGTGGAACATGTAACATCTTGCAAAGCTGAACTTATCCTTTAAACATGGTATGGTCCATTGCAAAGCTCTCAGACCAATGAATCCTGAGTTCTAATTGGTTAATTTATTTTGCCTACTGCTTGTTGTGTGTGTATAAAGCTGGCCAGACACTAATAGATTTTTGTACAAACATTCATAAGAAATTTCTCAATACATTTGCTAACTTGAAGAATGTCATTTGAAAGTACTTAAAATTTTCTTTTAACATTCAAATTTGGAGTGAATGGACTTTCCTGATGAAAAAACCACATTCACTGTTAGAAATTTGTTTGTACAAGAAAAATGTTCCATCCCGCTCTTTCAAATTTTCTTGTCACTGTGGTCAAAACCAAACATTGATTTGACCTAACTAATGATTAGAAAATCAAATGTACATTCTAAAAATTAAAGATTCTGAACAAAATACAACTAGTGTATGGCCAGCTTAACTCATGTGTGCAAGCTATATTGATCTAATTCCTCAGGAGTTCCTCATTCCTCAGAAGAAAGGCATTACAAATCTCAGCTGAGCATGCATGTTAATACCTATGGCAAGGAGCACAGGAGGAATGTTGACAGCTACTGGAGGAATCCTTCAGCAGATTATCTCTGTAAAAAGAAAATAACACTTCCCTCCTTGCAGTTTGAGTGTGCATCTGACCATAGACATAGGTGTGGAAATAAATGAACTGGGCAATTATCTATCAGTAGCTTTGCAGGTCACAGAATAAATGCATAAATAATGTGGCCTGTAATTAAAGTGGTTATAAACCTCAGACATGAAATCTGGACAAAGCATATCCCTCTACAGTGTGAACTCACCTCAATCCAGAGCACCAACTGCCATTTCCGTCTGCTGCCCTGTTCCTCTTCTATCTACATGAGTCACTTCTGACAAGTTTTCCTGACACCAAGAGAAAAAAGGTGACCGGGGAGGGAGCTCCACCACACGACCTGTGATTGACAGCCACAGCTCTAATCGTGTGTACTGTGTGAAGGGTGTGTGTGTTCCTTCATTCCAATCAGCTCTCAGAGCTCTCCTCACTGAGCTCTGCAGAATGTTACGCCTCTGGCTTTTTGGAAGCTCCTACAAGCTATATAAATTTTGCACTGTGAACGGCTGTAGAAAAGAGAGGACTGCATGCAAACAAGCACAACGTATGTAGGAGGATTTGTTTCATCTCTGTGTATCACCTACTGTTAGTCACTTCACTGAGTATATGTGAAGGTTTAAAACCACTTTAAAGGTAAACCTACACAGCACTGTAGAGTATCATTCAATTGGGGAATCTTTATTATAGCAGATTTCATAAGGATTCCAAAAGTATATTGTCACCAACTTATCTGAAAGTAAGATTGCTGTCTGAATACTCAGGGCTGCTCAAAAACAAAACCTTCTATTACTAAACCTTCAAAAGGGAAAGCAGACCAGTCTGTTAAAAAAACAGCCTTCTGAATCATTAAACTAGTGCAATACAGCAATCTAGTCCTGTATTGTACTAATAGCTCTGAAGTCTTTTTTAATCTTTTTGACAAGATGTAGCTGGGTGGAGGGAGCAGAATGTCAAAGTGTGAATGACAGACACCTTATTGTGAAACATAATTTTTTTATGTTGGCTTGCCAGTAGGTGATATTTCTCAAATGTGAATTTAAAATTATCGGCCTCATAAATTCAGACATTTTCCTTTCTATTTTAGTTACAATTAAAATGGCAGCATTTTGAAATGACACATAATGATAAACTGTTTGCTTTACCCACATTTTGGAAAAGGAAGGTCAGCATGGTCACTTCCAGCATTCAAGAGTTCCAGACAGGTGTATAAAATCAAGCACCTAGGCATGCAGACTGCTTCGACAAACATTTGTAAAAGAATGGGTCGCTCTCAGGAGCTCAGTGATATAAAGTGTGATACCGTGATAGGTTGCCACCTGTGCAATAAGTCCATCCGTGAAATTTCCTTGCTACTAAATATTCCACGGTCAACTGTTAACTGGAAACAAAGGGGAAGCAACTGGGAACAGCAGCAACTCAGCCATGAAATGGTAGGCCACGTAAAATGACAGAGGGGTCTCAGCCCATGCTGAAGCGCATAGTGTGCAGAAGTTGCTGTCTGCAGAGTCAATAACTAAAGACCTCCAAACTTCATGTGGCCTTCAGATTAGCACAACATGGGTTTCCATGGCCGAGCAGCTACATCCATGCCTTACATCACCAAGTGCAATGCAAATCGTCGCATGCAGTGGTGTAAAGCATGCCACCACTGGACTCTAGAGCAGTGGAGACATGTTCTTTGGAGTGATGAATCACGCTTCTCTGTCTGGCAATCCGATGGCCATATCTAGGTTTGGCGGTTGGCAGGAGAATGGTACTTTCCTGACTGCATTGTGCCAAGGTTAAAGTTTGATGAATTATAGTGTGAGGCTGTTTTTCAGGGGTTGGGCTTTGCTCCTTAGTTCCAGTGAAGGAAACTCTTAAGGCATTTAATAGCTATAAACAGTCTACATTTCCCAAGCCCTATACATTTTGAGAGCTAATTTCAAAATCAAAAAATTAGGGACATTCAATAAAGAAAATAATCTGTAACTAAACTCACCATGTTCAGAACTAGTAAATGCTCCAAAAAATAAGTGCATTCCGAGGTAAATAGCTCCCATACCGACTGTTGCCTTTTCCTATTTACTGCACTAGGAACCCCTTTAGGTTCAATCTGATGCATGTTTCTGAATTCTTCCCAAGTTTTATCCTGTATTTAGAAAAAACAGCATAATAAACTCTCTACGTTGATCTACCAAACAAATATAAAATGTTTTACAAATTATTGAAATATGAACAGAATACAAGAATACAGTAGAATTAATTGGATGTGACAAATACCAAACAGAATTATTCTGGCAGGATTTAAAACTAGCTCTAGATACGCAAACAAACATTTGTATGGATTACAATCCTACAGGAACTTAAAGTGTATCTATGGCCAAAATATAAAATCATGTTAATTTCCAAATTGTATTTCAATTATTTCTAGCCTACTCCTATTAATTTGAATGATCTTGAAGTTTGTACACTTACTTTGTGATGATCCCCACACATTTATTTCCTTGAATTCTGTGACATATACTGACTATGCTAATACTGCTGTCACAGAATTAACAAAGCCTTCCCTCTGGACTACAGAGGTGCTGAAAGGAGGAGTTTTGAGAAGGTGAAGTTAGTACAGGTAGCATTGCTTATAAGCAGCAAGGTACCATGGGATATGTAGTCCTTAGAAAGTAAACAGCAGAGTAGAAGCTGCAAAGCATGCAGGGAATCCAGGAAATTGTGGAAAGCGATGGCCAGCAGACAGGCAGCGCTCACAACATGAAAGGAGATTTTCAAGTAAACATATTGGATTGTCAAAAATAATGATTGTTTATATTGTTATTACAATACTGATATTATGGAATGAAAGTGTATACTGTGACCATAGAATTCTTTTAAAACTACAATGTGTACTTAGTATTAATATTACTATTTGTGCAAAATATTTATTAAAGTTCAGCCATAAGCATTTTTTGTACATTCTGGATAGAAGATGAAAAGCTTAGAGCTTCTGTTTTTGGACCTTCAGAGAGATTCTCCCTCACTGTCCATCTACAGTATAAGATTGTTAGCTTGTCATAAAGTGAAGGGAAATCTGCAGACTGCATAAAACCTGAAATCGATTCTAAGTGTTCCAAACTGTAGCCAAAAAAAGAAAAAACATTTTGGCTGGAGTTGAGCTTTAATAACGCTCAACAGTTCCAAATGTATTTGTTGTTTTCATTTCACAGTATGTTACTAGCCACTTAGGCTTTGCAACAATACCTTGACATTATAAAAATTGTATTCACTGAAATCTGGTATCTTGAAAGAAGAGAGGCAATTTTCCAAATCTGAAATCTGTTTCTGTTTCCCCTTGATAAACTGAAAAGAAAATAAGCAACAGGCATGTAATCTTTACAGTACAATAAACTGCTGATATACAGTACAGTGTAGAATATATTAATCCTGTTCATAGCTGACTAAAGATTAACAAATCAATCAGCCAGGTTTGAGACTTATAGTAAACTGGGCTTTTTCTCATCAGTAAGATATCTGAAAACAGTTTCTAGATACTGGACCCCCTTGCAGGACTCTGTAAAAAAAAACAAAAAAAAAACTCCCCCTTAAAGGCCACCAGTGTGGCCCACCAGATTGGTATTTCCAAAACAAGAGGACTGCAAATATGCAGACCCCCGGTTATGCGGATATCACCGTGCATGCCCTTTAACCCTTGCAGTGCTTGAAAATGTCCTACACCATAAAAAAACAGCCTAATGATATTTAAACAAATAAACTGTCCTGGTAGAGGGTAGAATGATTTTTATTTTAAAACTTTTATCTCCAAGTAACAATTAGGCTGCATTCTCTCTTTCGCATAACAGAAACAATTGTTTCCAAATTTGTTTGAGTGATTTGCACATGATTTTGCATGGTACATAAGGCCAGGCAAATCACCAGAATGGGCTGCCCTATGCGCTTTTGTCACCGAAAAGAAGCTCCTGCTCCTTTTGAGCAACAAGCTTCCCATGATTTTTTAAAGGCTCGTTTAGCCATTAACAATGGCAGTAGAAACACATCGCATTTGGGTTTCCATTAAGGGATAATGGCACCCAAACCCATTTTGTGCATTGTGCAGCGATTGCCATGAGATTCCAAATTACGAAGTGTGAATGGAGCCTGAAGACCATTGCTAAAACAAACGCATAAAAAGAAAATTATATACTCACTGATGTTTTCTTAGAGAAAGGCCATTTTGGTTTCTTAGCATCTAGTTAAAAAAAAAAAAAAAAAAAAAAGGGTTATTAATATCTTCATTTTCACCATTTACAGTACGTGTTTTCTATTCCTGATGTATTAAATTAGGAGCAATTGCTTTCTATGTGTAATTATAGTAAAGGCTGACATCTTAGGAATATACATTTTACCTAAAAAAACAGGTTGACCAAACCTGTCAAATCAAAATAGTAGTGAGGAACTATATAACACACAACTGTTTGTGTCTGTTAAAAATAATCACAAAGCTATAACTTCTTTTCTCCAATTAGAAAATGATGACGGTCATAGACCACCATGTACGTTCTGTTTACTATACCATTAGGCCAGTCTCCAAAGACACAAGACTGAAGCTAAACATTAACAAGACAAACATCACAAACCTAGCCAATTCAAAAGCAGCCTATCAAGAAAAATATTCCATGTGCTCATATGACAAGCTCTGTCCCTCTTCTCCAACATTTGTTTTTGTAGGTGGGTTTTAAAAGTGCACAGAATAGTGCTCTCATAGCACAACGTTGTGACACGTAAGCGCTGTTCTGCAATACATGGTTAGCCCAGATTGTACAACGATGCCAAGCCCAAGGATGTGTCAATGACAGGTTCCTAGGTTTACAGGAATTTGTTGACTATCGTTCAACCAGGAGCTGGGGGAGCAATCAGTGGCAGGGCAGATCAGTGTTTTTCAAAGCTAGAGGGCACAATCATGTTGGATCTGAGCTTTAAGGAGTATGTATAGCCATTGTTTTTAGTTAGAGCAGGAAAGAATTAAAACCCATGGAAGTCTTGTACACACGATGAGATTACCAGATGAATGATTGTCTGTTTTTTATTGCATGCTTGTCTCATATCAAAAATTAAGAGGTTACTAAAGTTATGAAAATTCTCTTACGGCAGAATACATCTTTGGAAGTAATGTAATGCATTGCATTGTAATGTATTCTTTAGTTTCTGATTATGAGTGGTCTTGGTCTTCCAAGTTTTTTTCAGATGAATGCTGTACTGATTAAATGAAAATCATTCGTTCTAGTATTGTACAAGAAAAAGTTTTGTGTTTGTCCCTTCGGGTAATTTTTCATGAACGGTCATGATTAGCTCTCGAAAGCTGTGCACTATCAGATTATCGGACAATCGCTCTGAAAGTGGTATTTTCTGTTCGTGTGTATATCAGAATTTCTGTGAGAGGAACTATATTTCCATCTTTTCTGTAGCTGAAATCATGGTTGTTTTAAACTGAATAGGCCCACAAACCCAGGGTCATTTCAGGTCTCAGTTCATGCAAGAGACAATCTCTTTCCCAACTGAGATAGTTTGTTATTTTGCAAGTGAAGGGAGTACAGAATTGGGAAAAGCAAGGACAACTCTCAGTGCTGGAACAATGGGTTTATGTCCTATTTACTGCACCTGGAACAAATGAACAATATTTACCAGCCTTTCCAGGTCCCATAAACATAAACTATGGAAACACCTTGTATGTGACAAGGTAGACTTGTGAACACAACAAATTAACAGCCTAGTCATTCAATGACTCACCATTGTTTCAGCTTTGGGAAGGTAAACAAGAGACAAAACACCTCTCATTAAATGGACATTATACAGATGGAGTTTGTAACTATTTATATGTTCAAACTATCCATATAACATAAGCTGTTTACATGGATTATCTATTGCAAGTTATAAGGTCAAGACTTTCATGACAGTGTGTGTACACTGTATATCTATCAATGCCTGCTTATGGACAAATGGGTTATAAATCCCTTTTTCTGGACAAAACCATTAGAAATATCATGGACATATGTTTAAGTATGTGATTTTAAATTGTAACACAATGTGGCAAGGTATCTATAAAAGATTTTATCTTGACACCTCCCATTGCTAGAAAGGATTTCTATATATTAAAGTTGTTATGTGTAATCCCATTATACATTTAGTGTGTTGAAATGTATCTTTTTGCAGAAATAATGTATGTGTGCTGCCATATCTATCTATCTATCTATATACACACACATATATACACACACACAGTGCACCCCTTTTGAAAAGTAAGATTTTAATCAATATCTCAATGAACACATGCACAATTTCCAAAATTATGACAAAACTGAGTTTTAAAGAACGTTTGTTTAGCTCATTACATAAAAGTAAGGTTAATAATATAACAGACTACAAAATCTTCAATTCTATTCAAGTTAGTTGACACAAAAATGAATACACCCCAGCACAAGAACTACTCCATCTAGTATTTTGTATGACCTCCATGATTTGTCAGGACAGCACCAAGTCTTATAGGCATGGAATTAACAAGTTGGAGACATACTGCAACATCTATCTTTCTTCATTCTTCAAGAACGACCTCTTTTAGAGCCTGGATGCTGGATGGAGAGTGATGCTCAACTTGTCTTCAGAATTCCCCATAGGTGTTCGATTGGGTTCAGATCTGTAGACATACTTGGTCACTGAATTACTTTCACCCTGTTCCTCTTCAGAAATGCAACAGCTGCCTTAGATGTGTGTTTTGGATCATTCTCATGTTGGAAACATGCACGACAACCAAGGGCATGGAGTGATGCTAGCATCTTCTCTTCTTTTCAATAAAGAGCAGTATGTGTGAATTCATGATACCATCAATAAAATGCAGCTCCTCGACACCAGCAGCACTCATGCAGCCCCACAGAAGGACACTACCACCACCATCTTTCACTGTAGGCACCATGCATTTTTCTTTGCACTCCTCACCTTTGCGACACCATACAGTTTTGAAGCCATCAGTTCCAAAAACATTTACCTTGGTCTCATCACTCCAGAGTACAGAGTCCCAGTAGTCTTCTTTTTCAGCATGGGCCCTGGAAAATTCTAGGTGGGCTTTTTTGTGCATGGGCTTTAGGGAAGGCTTCCTTCCTGGATGACACCCGTGCATGCCATTCCTCTGCAGTGTACTCTGTATTGTGTTACGGGAAACAATCACTCCAGTTTGGCTTTTCTACTTCTTTAGCTAACTGGAGTGATCTTGCATGGCGATTCTTGTTAATTAGAATTTTGTTGTCTAAAATTTAGCTTTGCTCCTAAGGCTTTCATTGGGGTGTATTCATTTTTGCAACATGGTCTTGAATGAATTTGTTGGGAAAAGTACTTTTTTGTGTTTGCAAATTAACAAATCTTGTTTGCAATCAATGGCCCACATTTGTGGGAGTACTTTGTAGTATAGTGTCCCATAGAAAATATTGGTTTTAAAAGCACAGTCAAGATTTTCTGACAAATCTGTTGGGGCATACTCATTTGTACTGATATATATATATATATATATATATATATATATATATATATATATATATATAGTGTTTATGTCTCTCTCTCCTCTATGTGCATAAATAATATTTTAATTGTGTGTGTGTGTATATATATATATATATATATATATATATATATAAATAATCTACAACTCTTTTCAGTTAAGGTTTTACATTAGGAATAACATATCTGCTCTCCAAAACATTTATACAGTTGTCACAATTTGTTGTAGTGAAATATTAATCTTTCCTTATAACAAATTAGTTACTTCAGTATCCAAGTAAACTCAAAATAGACAGGAATTGTCTTAGAGTGACACTCAGTGGCAAAAGGGTGATAATACAAAAACAAACATTAGGTGGAGTTTTAGACAAATTCAAGAGTAGCTGATATATTCAAATTTTATGAATGTATTGTGTGCCAATAGATAAATAGGAAAGTCAGGAAGACCAGATCCGAGGCGATCGCAGCAATCCGTATGTTCATTGGGCACACTGCACTCACACAAAACCCATCCGACCACCCAAGAGACTGTACATCTGCTCATACTCAGGACACAAAATTCCAGCCTGTCTAGACACCATTTTGTGGAAGCTTAAGTCCACCCACCAATTGGCAGCTATCTTTGGTTTACCTGATACTTGGAGGGTAATTATAATCTATATTCTGGTTATTTTGCTTGACTAGATGAATAAGCTTATTGTCATTTTTCTTGGTGTAACCTATTTGTTCTCCATAACCACTTAAGTTTATAGATTTTATTTTAGTGTTAATATTGGTTTTTGTTCTTGGGCCATATTGGCATACAGTTTTGAGTAGTTTGATGCTTATTCCTTCTGCAGGGGAATAACCGTTGAAATTCGGTAAAAACATAGACTATAGTTATTATGTCTATTGGAAGAAATGAATTTTTGATTTTTGTCAAAATATATATATATATATATATATATATATATATATATATATATACACACACACACATACAATTGCTACTTACAAATATTGTAATGTTTATGCAAATTATCTTGGTGTCTATGTGCATTACAATCGGCTATTATATTATGTGTTGTAAGTGACTTATGTAAATAAATATTAATTTATTTCATAATCGAGTCATTATTCACATAGCTCTGATTTGTGTTCTCAAAGGATTTTGTTTGACTAAAAGTTAACTCAGAATTATTCATTAAGTCAGTTAAATTATTTTTATAATTTATTGTTATATTTAGAAGCACCTTTAACTGACTAAATTAATTGTCCAGGCATTTCCTGGTATGACATGTATTAGGATCATTATCACAGGGACAGAAAGTGATAGGAAATCCAAAATTTTACAATTTCACTAGAACCTCAAAAAATTGACTCCCTCAAATGTAATATTTGGTAGCACATAACTGAAATCAATCTCTTTCGGTAAACATCGTTGAGTTTCTTACACCTCTCTACTGGAATTCTGGACCACTCTTCTTTCACTAACTGCTCCAGGTCACTCATATTAGAAGGGTTCCTTTTCCCAACTGCTGTTTTGAGATCTCTCCACAGGTGCTCTATGGGATTGAGATCTGGACTCTTTGCTGGCCAGTACTCTACAGTGCTTTGTCTGAAACCATTTCTGGATGCTTTTTGACGTGTGCTTTGGGTCACTGTCCTCTGTAAGACCCTGACCTCTGACAGAGAACCAACTTTCTGACATTGGGCCATACATTGCACCCCAGAATCTTTTGGTAGTCTTCAGATTTCATAATGCCATGCACACAGCCAAGACATCCAGTGCTTGAAGCAGCAAAGCAACCCCAAAGCATCAGTGAAACTCCAACATGTCTGACTGTAGGGACTGTATTCTTTTCTTTAAAGGCCTCATTTCTTTATTCAGTAGAATGATGGGCTTTACCAAAAAGCTGAAATTTTGCTTCAACTGTTCACAGCACATTCTACCAAAAGAATTTTGGCTTCCTTAGGTGAGTTTTGGCAAACTCCAATTTGGCTTTCTTATGTTTCTGTGTCAACAGTGGGGTCCCCCTGGGTCTCCTACCATAGCATCCCTTTTTATTCAGCTGGTGACATATAGTGTGAACTGACACAGTTGTACCCTGTGCCTGAAGGTCAGCTTGAATTTGTCTGGAAGTTGATCAAGGTTCTTTATCCACCATTCTAACAATCCTTCATTGCAATCTTTGATCAATTTTTCTCTTTTGTCCATGTCCAGGGAGATTAGCTACAGTGCCATGGGCTGTAAAGTTATTGACAATGTTGCGCACAGTGGACACAGGAACATTAAGATCTCTGGAGATGGACTTGTGGCCTTGAGATTTTCCACAATTGTTGTTCTCAAATCCTTTGGTGCTCTCCTTCTCTTCTCCATGCGGCACACTGAGACACACAACAGAAAGGTTAAGTCAAATTTTCACCATTTTACCTGGTTGCCGGTGTGATACCTATATTGTCAGCACCTGTTAATTGATACAGGTGAGTTTAATTATAAATTACAGAAGCATCACAAACTTGGAATGCAAATATTTCTTACAATTTTGAGAAGGTGCCAATAGTTGTGTCCAGTCCATTTTTGGAGTTATGCGTGGCATGTGTCAGATTTGGCTTTTTGTGTCATACCAATACAAACAAAAGAAATACACGTAAGAATGCCTAAACATTTGCAATTGCAACTATTTTCTGGCGAAGTGGTGCATTATCTGACAGAAATGCAGGGGGTACCAATATTTTTGGCCATGACTGCATATAGCTTGATTGGGCCTATTGTCTGTAAAACGTGTAGGTACTCCATGGAACCCTAGTTGAAAAATCACCCTAGTGTAGGTTAAAACAAAATTTTAAAATAAGGAAATTAAGTGCATAAACCTCTATGGGATTTATCTGCATCTTATGCAGTATTACTAGATGAGGCTATACCCAAGCCAAACTTCATCCAAAGGCAGACTATTTCAGACAGATTATTTGGCACTTCATGAACTTACCTGCATTAGGCAACCATGGAGCATTGTACATATAATCAGAGGCGCCATCTGACACCAAAAGATCTCCTGGAAAAACCTCCAGACCAGGTATGCTTAGCACTACTGAACTGCGTCGCCTTTCACTCTGTCTTTAAAAATAAAATAATATCATTTAGTAATAGTTGTTACAGTTAAAAGTGTAAGCCATTTGAGTTCCTTTAGGGTATATGCTATACTCATATACCTTTTACTAACTTCTGTAGGACATGGGTACTACAGCTAGTATAAGCAGCATCAATATGATGTTTTTATAGCAAATTAGATTTTAGACCATCCACCTTATGTTTCTTATCATCGTACACATAATAAGTACATACAACTCATTATTAATATATTGGACCATAGGCTTTCATCAAGGTCTGGTCACAATGCTGGTAGCATTTTACAAACCAAATATGTGAAAGTTCAAAGTTCTCCGCAGACATTAAAGCTTATTTCAGCTAATACTCTCTGACTGACAAGTGTTAATTACTTTTAACACAGGTAGTTGTGGGCCTTTCCCTGATTATTTGCCTAACTGCTTTGATGAAGGAAGATTACTACTTATCTTTATTAAAATTCCGGTATAATTGAAAAAGTAGAATGTCTCTACGACAAGAAAATTTCTTAATGGTGGCTTTTACATTTCTGGCAAGAATTTAGTGGAACTTGTCCTGCAATTGTTACACTTTTCACAGTATGGGTAAATCAGAGGTATTCTCCTCCACTGGACATTCCTATTATTATGTCGCGTTACAAGACACAGTTTGGGAACCCTTTGAAATTATCTGGATTTCTGCATGAGTGCCTACTAAAATAAAGTCTGATCTCCTTCCACATCACAGTAATAGACAAACACAATATGCCTAAATTAGTAATATACAAACAGTAGTCTCTTGTGTCTTTATTAAAAACGGAACCTAAAAAGGTTTGAGGTCAATTTTTTTTTTTAAAGCTTAAACTATTTAAAAGGAAATTTTCATATCTTGTGTTTAGTATTTATACAAAATATTAACATTAGAGGCTTTCTAAATATAGACCACAGATTAAAGGATACGTTCACCTTTGAAACAGGTTACATGTTCCACCCATTTTTAGGGTGGAACATGTTCCCATAGCTGCAGCAGCGCCCGCCGCCCCCCTCCCTCTGACAGATAGTACGGAGAGAAGTCTCCCCGTACTGTCAGATTTGAAAACGGCATGGCCTTGTGGTGCTCCGCCCACACGGACACGTCACTCACTAACAGAGTTCTGCGAATGAGGGCCTACAAGATCCGGCAGCTTTAGCGGCTGTTGACTTGTACTTTTCAATTAACTACCACGGTGCTATGGAGCACCTGGTAGTTCATTGAAGCTTCCTGTCAATATATTTGCTTGACCGTACAACCCGTACGGCAAGCAGATATTCTGACAGGTCTGCAGGAGACCTGCATGGCATCAGCAATCTACTGATCACTGGTGCAATGCTTTCCAGGCTCCTCTGGATCAAAATAATAAATGCACATTTTTTTATCTGCAAAAAAATGTGCATTTATTATTTTTGTCCAAAAGGTGAACTTCTCCATTAAGCTGTATTTAGACTCTGAACTATAAGAGGCCCTTGGAGCCCTAGCTCTATTTTTTAACAAGATGGAAAACCATTTCCCACAGGCAGGATATGTCATTATTGTGAATGATCACACAAAGAGGTGGATGGTAGAGGCACTGTGGCTGTTAAAACCTGCTACATTAATATAGTCAGATCAATTAAAATTCAGTGGTAAAACTGTATTTCATATATACACAGTCTAGGTGCACCCTTAAAGGACAAAGGTCACGTTAAAAAAAAAATAATAATAAATGCCCTTTTTTTGCAGTTAAAAAAATGTGCATTTACTTTTTTTTTTGGAGCCTGGAAAGCATTGCACCAGCGATGAGCAGATCGCTGGTGCTATGCAGGACTCCTGCAAACTGTCAGTCTATCTGCTTGCCTGTACATCCCATACGTCTGACAGAAAGACTCAATGACCTGCCACAGTGTTCAACAGCACCATGGTGGTTCATTGACAAATACAAGCCGAAGGCCTCAAAGGATGTTGGAACTTGTAGTTCATTCATTCATAATGACACAGTCGTGTAGGCAGCACCCCACACGACCTCGCTGTTTTCAAAAACTGACAGCTAGTACAGGGAACTTCTCCCCGTACTGCTGTCATAGGAAGAGGGGGGATCAGGCAGCGGCGGGAACATGTTACATTTTCCACCCTAAAAACATGTTTTCAAAGGCGAACTTATCCTTTAAGCCTGGTATACACAGGTAGTTTTTTCTTCTGTTCATCGCTGTGGGCTGAACGAAAAAAAAACTGGGGAACTTGCAAGGAGCTAAGAGATTTCCTCACTGCACTATTGTGTTCTGACAGGGGGACTGCCCTTTCCAGCAGGACCGTTTGACAGAAGCCGGACTTTAGGCTGGTTTCTGAGGGACAGGCCGCTGTACACAAGGGCCGAATGTCGACCGGTTTCTGTTGAATCCAGATGATATTGGCCGATATTTGGCCTGTGTGTACCAGCCTTTACGTGAGTGCAGAATAGAGTGTAAATCGCATGGATTCCCACACATGCAGGCACCCACAGGCATAAACTGCTGCTCTTTAGCAGATATACGGAGGTGTCGGTAATTCTTATTGGCACCTCCACGCATCTAAAAACGCAGCATGTTTTTAGGTGTGGGAAGCCACTTGCTGCAAGAGTGATTTAAAAAGGTGCAGGGACCTTTTTCCTTAGTTTCCCCACAGGTACAGCAGTCCATTCGAATTAGTGGGCTGTTGAGCCCAAGCAAACGTGGCACGCAAGAATCACATACACTCTTCTACCACTTTATTAGGGACACCTTGCTATTGCCAAGAAAATATTTCCCACACCATTACACCACCACCACCACCCTGAACTGTTGATACAAGGCAGGATGGATCTATGCCTTCATGTTCTTTACTCCAAATTCTGACCCTACCATCTCAATGTCGCAGCAACCAGTCTGCCCATTCTCCTCCGACATCAACAAGACATTTTCGTCCACACAACTGCCGTTCACTGGACATTTTCTCTTTTTCTGGCCATTCTCTGTAAACCCTAGAGATGGTTGTGTGTGAAAATCCCAGTAGTTCATCAGTTTTTGAAATACTCAGATCAGCCCCTCTGGCACCAACAACTGTGCCACTAAGTCACTTAAATCCCCTTTCTTTCCCATTCTGATGCTCAGTTTGAATTTCACCAAGTGGACTTCACCACATCCACATGCCTAAATGCACTGAATTGCTGCCATGTGATTGGCTGATTAGCAATTTGTGTTACCAACCAATTAAACAAGCGTACCTAATAAAGTGGCCAGTGAGTATATATGTGATACTAGCAGAAATACTGATTTTTTTTAAGCTACATCCATTCTGCTTGTCTCTTGAGCTACATTGAAATAATATTTACAATCTCAGTAGTTGTTAGCTCCTGTCAGTATTCAAACAAACAGTCTTTATCTGTCTAGCCTTTTTTTGTTTATACCATATTGTCTATGTTTGTCTTGATTAACATTTTCTATTTATTTTCCATGTATGTCTTTATGTTTGTTTGATCAGTCTGTACCTGTTCTGTCTTTACTACCATTGCCAACTGACCCTAGAGTTTTATCATTTTGCAATGCACAGTGCTTAAAGTAAACAATTGGACAATGTATGGGATACTAGCAGCTAAAAAAAACCCATCAAGACACCATCGTTGGATGAATATTTTAAATTGATCTCCCATTACTTTTCCACATTGTGCAGATAATACTGTAATTATAGCACCATAGTAAACACACTATGATACACATTCCAGGCAATACAAAAAGTTCTTTATTCCATAAACTGTATTTATGCAGCACATGGTACAGGCCCTTAAAATGAACCTGTGCTTTGCACATGCAGGGCAAAGCAAATATTTAACTCAAAGCAAAACTGTAGGCTCACTGCCCTTTTCCATAATGTGTATGATTTGAACATTATGGCGGACTCCACACTTGGTTTGGCCTTTTTCAGTACTAACAGTTCAGAGCTGCTCCTTGCTAATCCGCATGCCTCCCCTTACAGGTTTGCATTCTTCCTCTATGGCCATTGATGATGTATTCGTTCTGACAATTGGGTGAAAGTAAAACGTGCAATGCACATGTGCCACAGGGAGTGTACACTGAGAAAAATTTCTAGGTGCAGGACAAATGGTTTTTGGCAGAAGAGACGAAAAAAAAAAAATCCTAGAGGGTTTTTTTTCTTGTACGTTATGCATTAATTGCAGTCCTACCCAGCTTTGCATAGTTCCCATTCCCCCACAGCTCTATTCGGTGGCCAGCAGCAAAAAGTACACAGCACTTCTGAGTATGGGAAGTATGTTCCATGCGGCCGTTCCTCAGTAACAATCCTGCTGCTTGTGCTTGGCCACTCTATAAACTTTCATTGCTTTATGAATAATCATGCATTAGTAATATAATAATGCAGCATTCTGCACAAGCCATTGCACACCAGTGACAAATGTATGAGACAATCTAGAGTTCAGTACATTTATGAACTGTCAGCTAAAATGTAATTTGTGTTTACAAGACTTAATGTGTTGATGTGTAAAGCAGTCATATATGAAAGAAGACCTATCACTTTCATAGATGTGGCTGATTCCTATGATTACTGTAGCAGTTTACAAATCAAATATGTGAAAGATCAAACTTCCCCACAGACCATAAAGCTTTTTTTGTTAGCGAACACTCTCTGACAGACAAGTGTTCATTAACTTTAACGAGGAAGTTGCTGACCATTCTCTGATTATTTATCTAACTTTTTTGATAAAGGAAGATCACTACTTTTCTTTAATTTCTTTATCTTTATCTTATCTGTACAGATATCTCAGTTATAGTATTTCATGTTTTCAACAATGGAGCCGGCCATAGATGGATCAAACCTCATCTGGTTCAGCAGAGACCGGCCAACATTCAATCCATCTATGGGATCCATCAATCGACTTGGGTACAACCAGCTTGTCAGATTTTTAGAATTCGATTACTGCCTGCAGCTAGCAGTAATCATTGTATTCTGCCAACCAGAAGGCTCCACCG